CCCCGGCCCTGCTCCCCCGGCCCTGCTCCCCCGGCCCTGCTCCCACACTGGGACCATGGCAGCTCCACGCCGCGGGAAGCAGCCACATCTGCTTCTCCATGCCGCTGCTCTCTGAAGGCAATGCTGGGCTCCAGTGCCACTTCTTCCCCAGAAACCAGAGGTAGGCCCGCTGCAGAACTTGTTCGACATGAACATCAGCCACTGAAAGGGCCACGAACGAGGGGGGAAGGAACGGGGCGTGGGAAAGAGCTTCGGGAGCCCACACTGAGGTGTCAGGCATGTGCCCGCCATCCCCTGGGCCTTTGCTCCACTGCTGGCAGCAAGGGCTGGCAGCGTGAGAGGGGCCATTTGTGGCATTTATTTAAATACTTGACAACAAGGCATGGTACATAAAAGGACCACTAAATTTTAATTTTTTCCCCTCAGCTGTGACAATTCAGGAGTTATGCCTGTCAAGTTGCTCTTGGGTAGAGCTGGTTGAACTCAATGGAGTGTTTTCAGTCAGCAAATGTTGATTAATACCAAAATGTTTGTGGGAATTTTTCTGTGTCAGGAAAGTTCCAATTAAGAACCTCCCTGGTTTCCTGTCAGTTTGCTTGGCTCCGCGGCTGCCTCGCTGGTGGGCTGCTGCAGAGCTGGGCCTCCAGCAGGTCTGGTTCGTGGTGCTTTGACAGGCTGCTAGGAGAGATGCCTGGGACTTCTGGGAGCTGGAGAGGTGGGACTAGAGCTACCCACAGAATTTCGTTCAGTTTATTCTTGAGTGTTACGAAAATGTGACAACTGTGGAAAAAAATTAGTATCTAATGTTTTCCATTAGGATGTAAATCTGTTTCTTATAAAAAGTTGCTGTTCTTTGTGATAAAAATGCCACTTCTTCTTCAGGTCTGTTTCCCAGATCAGTTAAAGCAGCCAGCATCTGTCTGACTGCTGCACCATCTCTGTTGACACAATTGTATTCTTAGGAAACTCCTTTCAGCTGTTGATAAGGGTTTGAACAAAGGAGGTGTCTGGAACTAGTTAGAGCAGGATTTCTACCACTTCAAAGTCCATTACCTGGTGGGATGATGAAAATCGAATTGAGAACATTCATAGGAACTCTTCTCTGTAAAAATTTGAATATAGTTGTTTGTGAGAGCTGCTGTTCCACAGTGAAAAAATCAGTGCCCACGGTATGGGACCAGAATGAATAATTACCTGCCAGTCTTCTATGAGTTCAAAAACTTCTGTCATGTGTCCTAGAATAATGACTACATATGTAATGTACTTTGTTACTAAATGTTTACCTCCATTTAACGATTTAATGTTAATTTTGTACTAACCATAAGAATTCTATAAAAAAATCCATGGGTTAAGTTTCTATCAGTACTGTTTAGCTCGTATTCTAGAGAAATATATATCTATATAGAAAACTTGTGTTGCTAACCTTAAAATGGTTCATTACAGGAAATTGCACTCTAAACCATGTAGCTTCTCAACCCAAACTGGTTCTTTTTGTCATCAAGCCCTTATTCATGCAATTTCTAAAACTGCAAAATTAGGATGGCTTGATGTACTGAAAAATCTTCAAAGATATTATTGCTGATGAAAAAAAAAAAAGTATTGGAAGTAAGAAACAATTGTTCACTTCTGCCTTTTTTGTTGTTGTTGTCTTTTTTTGTTTGGACCTCTTAATTCATAGTTATTGGAATGTTATGTTTCTTGATTTGATACTGGGATGGAAAAAGTGTGAAGTGCATTGCTTGAGACAGATTGTCTGTTGAGGAAGGACCAGGGTGGGTTTGCTGCCTATGTGAGGTTGTGGGGTTTGATGCCTCACAGAATTCATAGTGCTGTCTTGGCTTTTTCTCGGTTTTCTTTTTCAGATCACTCCTTTATAGTGTGGTTGTGAAACAACAGCCCTTGTTGTCAAGCCATTCTGTTTAATGCCTTCATTTTTCATCAGCTCCTATAGAAACACATTCTTGATACATGTCTATGTGAAGGTTCAGCCTTTCTCAACTTCTGATGAGAAAAAGCAATGGGAAATTTTAAGTTATTTGGCAATTTACTTGCAGGATGATCCATTACGTGTGTATGTGCTGGTGATCCTGGTAACTCAGCAAGGAAATACAAAGTTAGCAGTTTTTGTTTCTTGCCAGTGAGTTTCTAGTTTTCTTTTCAGTCTTACTTTGTTTGTAATACTGTTCAAGTTAATGTACTTTTTGAGTTACTTTGGGAATGTCTAATAAAAGATAAGTTGCAATAAGTGTGTTTATTAAAAACAAACTCAAGTACACTTCTCCACCATTTTGCAGTTATTTTTATGAATGTACTGTAATTGGAGTTTGCATTTATTATTAAAATGATTGCAGTGTGACTCTTCAGTGTGCAGCTCATTAAAAACAGTGATTTAAATACCAAATATAGTTTCTTAAGAGATTTCTTTAGTTAAATTAAGAATTTCTGCAGAAAAGAAAATTAAGTCATAGATCTAGTGAATTAAATTTTATATAAAAATTGAAGAAATAATCCCTAAACAATATTAATATATGTAATAATTAGCATATTGTAGTTTCAAGTATGTATATACCAGCATTCTGGATTGAGGTTCATCCAGTGTGAATTTGAGTGTGATTTATTATTGGGAAAGGGATTAGCAGCCAGGTCTGCAGTTCTTTAATTCATAATTCAGCAGCCAGTGTTTCACACCTGGCAAAGGAGAGGGTGCATTTTCCTTTTTTGCATGTGTGTATGACCTAAGGAACCTTCCAATGGACTGTTCACAGGATGTGAAATGTAAAAGGCAGACAGGGCACCAACGTCACTTTTGCCTGAGAGCTCCCCTAAATTGTCTCTCCTCACATGCTTTGGTGTGGGTAACAGGACAAACCAGAGGACAGTGAGAGGTCAGGCCCCTTGGTAAGTAGCCGGATTTTTCATTAGTTGAACTCTGGGTGATCTTCAGAGTTGTAAAATGGAGTGTGATTGCAGCAAATTAGCAGGGAAATGTTGACAAGGGCGACTGGGTGTTTTGGACACTGGCGGAGCTGAGGCTGCATAGTGCAGCTGTAAAAGTACACAGAAATCTTCCCTGGTTTTAATGGCAAGGCCTAATTGATTTTGAGGGACTTGGTTTTAGATGTTTTGACAAGGAACAGATTTAATTGTTCTACAAAAGCTTTGGCATAGCCAAATGAAGACAGTTAAATTTTATTAATTAATTGCACAATTCTGCATTGTATCTGATTTTGAAACATTCCAAGAGTCTTAAGCCTGGTGATGAGATTGTATCCTCACATGGAATATTGAACACCCCCTGCATCACATTTTAGACTCAAGTTCTCAGTGATGGGATGTATCATTCAGTTTAAATCAGTGCTTTGTGAACTACTGTGGAGGGAAGAGAATGAATTTTTTTGATAGGTAGCATGTATTTTTGAGAGTGCCCTCTGATCTTTTTCATTGATGCACAGTTCAATTTTTTCTAATGGTTTTAATTTCATGTAGCTTGCCTTTCAAGTGCTAGAATACTGAACCTCTGAGACCTCTGAGAAAAGTGTAGGAGTGAATTTCTTGATTGCAATTCCTTGTAGTCTCTTTTCAGATGGGTTTTTGTTATCTGACAATTCTTAAAATTTGTGATGAGAGGTTTGTTTCAGAGATAATTAGGGAGTGTGGAGGTCTAGTTCAATTAATGTTGGTAGAATTTGGCATGAAAGCCTTCTAAACAGCTTAGGAAATCTCAGCCTAACAATTCCTGTTCATTCCAGAAATGTTGGAAAACATTAAATGTGATCTGATTTTAGTAATGCTGGAAAATGGGAGCTATAAGGGCTGATGTTTGAGGAATCCTTCCTTTTTCCCCCACAGGGCATTGTGGACCACTGTGTAACAGGAATGGTTCTCTCAGAACTGACTCAGGAAATGGATCTGGTAGGCATGGTTTGTTTTTTCCTTCTGCAAGGGATGCTGGTAAAGCCTTTTGTGAGAAATATTTCTTAGTCATGAAAGGATTAGAGCGCCTTTCTCCTCTGACAAAAAGACACAGGAAACTCAGTGCAGGGGCTCGTCCAGTACCACACACTTCAGTTCTGTCATCTTGGTCACCAGAACTCGTAAAGCAAAGTGAACAACAAGTGGTATTTATGCTTATGGCTTTCTTTTGCCTACTTCTTAATCTCAGGAAGTTCTCAGGTCTGTCCATCCAGAAAGAGGAACAACCCTGAAGGAAAGAAATGAAGCAAGTCAGGAACCTGATGAGACCTGCATTTAGTGCTAGGCCATAATTTTAATTTCTGCTGTCAAATAATTAATCTGCCAAATATCCATCTAGTTTTAGCAGGGAAGGAACACTGTTTATTCTGTCCTTACTTTTCTTAGGTTGATTATTCAAGACCTTCAGCAAAGCCTTGTAAAAGAGTTTCCTCATTTCGTGACACCTCTCTGAAGGACATTCTGCTGCTTGTGTGCTCTTTTGAAGGAGGTGAGGCTTTTCATTATTGAACCTAAATTGCTTGAATAATTGTCCCTTAATTTTTTCTGACTTGATGAATTCTGTGCTTAAACGGATTACATGCTACTCAGTTAAGCTCCAGTGACTAAAAAAGGTTCAGACAAAAATTCCAGTCTTCTTTCGTCCACGTCTCTCTTGCTGTCTCTCCACCTCTGCCATCTCTCTGTCTTGCCAAGAAGGTTGGACTGCCTAAATTCTGAGCTTGTCTTCTTTTTTCATGTTTTTCTTAATTTAATTGTATCTCAGTTTTGCTGGGCTCTACCATCTCAGTATTTGCTAAAAGAATTGTTTTATTGAGCTAAGAGTGACCAAGAGGAAAGACAAATTCTTGTGGTAAGGATGCATCGTCAAATCAGGACAAGGTGTTTTTCTCCTTGAGTATTTCCCTCATCCTCTCTGTAACATTTTGGGGTAATTAAGTCTGTCATCTCCCCAGAGTATTGGCAGGAGGGGGTGAAGGGCTTTCATTTGTATGTTCCACAAGTGTAAATTTCATTACTTGTGAATTCTGGTTGCTGTTTTCTGCAGTACTTCCTTTACATTAATTATTGCGGGTGAAGAAGTGCAGAGGAGCTGCTGGTCAACAAATGGAAATTAAGCCTTGTTTTTAGACTAGAGCTTGGAATAAAAAAGAAGGCTCTATATTTTAAAATGTGCATACCAGAGTCCTCCTTTTGCAGTGAGCTGAGGATTATTGTGAATGACCAATTTCTTGTGGCAAAAGCTTTCTAAATCCTTGTGCATGTTTGATCCTGTTCTTTTCCATCCACTAGCTAACATATGAAAAAGAACATGCAACTTAGAAATGGATAAAAAGCTTTACATTTTCTCCTTTGTTTCTTGCCTTCCTAATCTACCCTGGGGCTCTATGGTGTTAGCAATCTTCCACTATGTTTTTATTAAAAGTGAAAGGTTTTAATATACAGGTTTACAGATGAAGTAGCTACTGACTTCTAATCCAGTGACTATATATATCAGATCTGACAAAAAGTGAGAATTAATTTTTTGAATTGCTAGGGAATTCAGATTTCAAAGAAGAGATAGCAGAAGAACTTGTGACATTAATAAAGGAATATTACTTTAAAAAAATTAATTAAATTTTCTTGGCTGACACAGACTGAAAATGATGCTTTGAATTCAGTCCTGATAATACGGAGGTATTTACCAGTAAGGATTTAGGTCAGAAAAAGCATTGGGTCAGATGTTTTAGGACAGGCAGAAGTAGGGGGGAGTGAGGCTGACGTTGCATTATATGGTACATATGTAAATTTGTTTCTAAGTACAAGAGCTTCAGTGTCCAGGGAACCCAAACTGCTCTTCTGCACTTGTAATTTGAGACCCTTGTTTCTCAAATTTCTGTTTCTTCTTTCTATTGTTGCTTTCAATATGGAAGGGATAGTCACCACAGTATAACACACACATCTGAGGAAATTTCAAATGACAAAGTAATTAGAAAAGCATTATGTTGATGTTTATGTTTAATCATGGTCAATTAGTGTAATTAGTATCTAAACAAAAAAAAAATCTTAGAAGAACCTTAAACCTGGATAAACAAAAATAGCTGATGGGTTCCTAAAGAGATTGACTGTGACAATATACCTTCATGTGAGAATTCTTCCTGAAAATGTTTGTTTGTATCATTAAGAGTTTTCCAGATGATCTCTTTGATGGATGCCCAGTTACCCCAGTAAAAAAAATGAAGACATAGAACTGGCAGTTCTGTGATTCTTGGATCAGAGTGTGAGAGCCCATCTTCAGCACAGCTCAAAGGTAAATACTTCTTGTAAACTACAGGATTTGAACTCAAACAGTCTGTGCAGAAATGAACCTGCCAGTGTATCCCACCCATAAAAGCTCTCGAGCTCAGCTGCGGGAAGATGACTGGATGGAAAAAGAGGAAACCACTTAATGTCATGTGCATCTGATCAAGCTTCCTACCATGTATGCTTTGGAGTTTTGGCACGTGAGGAGTTAATATTTTAACAACTATGTTCATTAAACAATTTTAGGTTACTTTGCATTTCAGTTTTTTATTTCAAACATTTAGATGGGTTCTGCTATATTATGTTATATTTCACAGCTGGGTACACAAGATTTATTCTTTTAATAGTTCTGTTCTTTTGACAGTTATTCATTTATGTGGTTTCCACTGTATTTCTCACATTACTTGGCTTTTCTGCATTTTAAATATGGAAGAGGGAAAAGTAAGATGCATTTTTGAAGAAGCAGCAGTTAATTCACCTTAACTGTAGGGGACAGTCATAATTTAGATGTTATAAAGAGAATGTCAGTAAGATGAGATCAACTGATCTTGAAAAAGAATTCTATTGCAAATTCTCAAGCAAACCTTTAGCAGGAATTGTGACAGTGACTGAGGTTTGGCTTCATTTGCGTAGCACTCCTTCATTGCTTTCTGGTGAACTGTCCCAATCTCCAGAATATTTTTACCTCTTCAGGTTTGAAATGTACTTCAACTTTCTCACTTACTTTTAAAAAGAAAGTTTTACACTATACTGAATTACTTTTCCATTAAAGCAATGTGTTCCTTTCACTTGTTGGAGCTGACTTGTTATTTTAAAATCTGGTAGACTTCTCTAATTCTAAGGAACAGGAGGTACCGAGTAAAAGTGTACCGATGCTCCAGGTATTTTTATGAGCAAAATTCCTGCTGTGATAGTACTTCAGAGGCAGTGTGGCTCTACAGTACTTGTCATTCTGGTCTGTAATTTCTCTTTTTTATTATTATAATATAATTTTTATTCTTTTATTCATAATTTTATTTCTATTATACCATTATCATTACTCTTTTCCCTTTATGCGATGTTGAGGGTTTCTGTTTCACCCCTTATCCTGCCTGAAGGGGGTGTAACTGCCTAGAGAGGTCCCATGAATGTACAGTGTGCTGTGAGGGGTTGGGCAGGAGATTGTACCCCAAGCTTTTCATATCCATCCTTAGAGAGAGCTGGAGGAAGCATTTGTGTGTGGATGGAGCAGCAGACAAAAATGGGCAGTGCATTATTTGTATTTAATCACCTGGGGCTCTGTCATCAGCAGGAAAAATGTCCAAGCTGACCCTTTAGCAGCTCAGCAGTGTGCTGTGAGTGACTACAAGCCTGGTCACTGTACGGGGAGGGTTAAATGGTTAATTACTGAGGAAAATGCTGGCTAATCTTTCCAACTGGCTTATTGGAGAGCATTTGGAACAGAAAGAAATAACCTGTGCTGAAAGGACGTGGAGAAACCCTGCAGGGTGAATTTAAGAAAGCAGTTTTGTGTTGGCTTATTGTTTCTGTTTTTCCTCCACCCCATCAGTGCACATGAGTCAAACTGGTGATAAATCCTACTTCAAACACTGCCTCTGCCCATGGTGTGTGCTCCTATGGAACCAGGCTGGGACAGGAGTTTTGCAAGGCTCTCCTGTATGTAACCGCTTGAGGGATGTTCCGAGTTCCAGCCCCACTCTTGACTCCTGGAGTTCATTGCAAGTGTGCTTTCAAAGTGATTTTTTTTTTTTAATGGTTTGATTCAATTATCTCCGAGCATCCTTTAGTTTATAGTTAAGTTTTTGTTTTGTTCTAGCAGGCCTGGTACTGCTGCCTCTCACCTGCGCGGTTAGATGCCCACGGTCCGGAGCCTCATTTTTGCCAGCTCATCTAACAAAAGCTGTGTGTGAAGGCATCTGAGCTCCCTGTTTTGGTGCTTCTGTAAACACTTTCCTGCAGGCTGAGCTGTTGGTGTGCACTCTGCAGCTCAGAGGCAGCAGAAGGCAGCACTGGGTGGCTGCTGCTGCTGTAGCAGCTCACAAAGCAGCAGATGGCACGCTGCCCTCACGGCTGTAAATCCTCACATACGGGTCCTGCTGGCAGCTCTCTGCGCACCGGCCATGAGCAGGATCACGCCTGCAAGCAGAAAAGTCAAGCATACATCAAATGATTAAGTTAATACATATTTATATAAATATTCAGGATTGCTCAGATTGTTTTATTTGTGGAAAGGATAATGGAAATTTTGCGTGCTTCAGCCACATTGTAATGATTTTGTTTGCTCATATGCTTGCATACAGACGAACAGAAAATGGTTAGAGAACTGTGAAGAGTCTAATGAAAATGTAGAACAAGTCTTCTATATAAAATACAGATTTTGTTCATTAATTAACTCATATTCTTAAGCATGTGCATGTAATAAAAGCAAGCTCATTATAGATAAAGAGAACTGGCTAGGTAAATGAATGCATTTTTATTAACTAGCCCACTGGGGCTTACTGTCTGAGGAAGGAGAGCAAAACCTCGGAGGTTTCTTCCACGATGCTGTAATACACTTTTAGTGCCATAACTGTTCCTGTACAAAAGTAGTGCATCAAGATACAGTCTTTGAATGATTATATACATATTAAATTTCTGCTGAATACTGGACTGGACTCTATGGTACTGTACAGGACTGGTAATACTGGTCTATCAATTGTCTATCAGTACATATTTTAATGCTGGCATGACTTAGTTTTCATAGTGTCACTGTTTTGTGGTGTATTGCTGGTTTGGATGCTGGCAGGGTAGGAGGAAAAAAGTTGTCTGGAGAAGCGGTGCTGCTAAGCACAGCAGACATTTACTCTTGGAGGGAGAAAAAGCAACAGGAGGGTTTTGTAGCCTTCCCTAGAGCAGTACATTGTGCAGTGATTCCCAATTCTCCTGGGACAGGCTGGAGCAACAGCCTGTGGGATGGGCAGGGTTTGGCTGTGACTGCCCCTAACTGGCCATTAGACAGTGCCAAGGGTCAATAAAACTGTTAAGTCTTGCCAATTGATGTATCAAAGGAAATGCAACTGAGCAAAGATAGTTACTGAAATTTCTTCAGTTCACTTAGAATTGTTAACTTAAAACAAGTTTGACACTAAGGCAGCTTTATACTTGGGAGTTCTGGCACTTGTAAAGGTCAGGTTCCACATGTACACTCTCACAGTGATTGTAAAAAAGAGATTGCTTTGGCTGAAGACTTTTCTCTTGAGGGTGCATTAAGAGTTATTCTGGGAGAGAAAAATAGTTCTAGTTCTTGAAAAATATAGGGGTAGAGACATAAAGTTCTTTTTATTGTTAGTTCCTTTGCATCTTGTTTTCCTGGGGAATGCTTTTAGTTGTTAAGTATTTTGTGATTGCACAGAGAACCATTCAGTGGTCAGCACAGCGAGGCAGGAGTGCACAAGGAGGTGCCTGTGGTTTCTAGGGGGCTCGGTGATGCTGCTGTGCCTGTTCCTTTGCCTGTTCTAGTGCCCGTGGCCCTGCTGCGGTGCAGTTTGAGCAGAGCTCAGCGGGGACAAGCACAGTGGGCTGTGAATGTCATCACAACCTTCCTAGAGAGCTGCATGTGCAGGGCTGGCACTTGCTCTGCCTGTTAAAAGGAGGGGTTTTATTAAAATGCACTTAGGCAAGCTCTTTACTGTGAGGCAATTACTGCTGGGATCATTCTCATCTAGCGGTAGCTGAATGAATTCAGAGGAATCTTGGGGTGCTCAATCTGTCCCGGGCGCTGCAGTCTGGGGGAACCCTCTGGAAGTGAAGATCCCTGGCAATGGGGTTCCAGCAAGCCATGCTTTTACTTCACCCCAGCTTGAACTGGCAGTGATAGGGACCAAGGGTGGGAGAGCAGGAGTGAAAATCTTGGCTGCAGGGTTTCTGGGAGCAGCCTCATGTCCACATGGAGAGATGCAGCTGCTGCCTGGCACTGGAGGGATGTCAGTCACACAGTCTGGGAACCTGGGCTTTTAAACTTGGCAGATCTGCATTATCATAAAAAGGTATCTCAAGGGTTAAGAATTTAGACTGCAGTGCATTTAGAGTGGAGGAAAAAAAAATCGTTTTCTTGCTGAATTGTGTTTGCAGCAGCTGAAAGCCAGACGTGTGTATAGCCAGGTGCCAGCAAAGCACTGAGCACTGGCTTGTCCTCTCACCTGGAAGGGGGGTTCTATTGACATGTTATTTTGAGATTTCTTCAGTATGTGTGTATCTCTCTTATCACAGTGCCTGCAGACACAAAGCATGACCTAGCAAAAAGGAGAAATGCACTTATTGTGCAACGTGTGACTGCTTTTCCCTGTGCGATACGAGAGCTGAGATCTGCAGCGGTCCCACTGCCTTCAGTGGGATCCTCGTGGGTGGAGGGGCTGAGCTGTGAGTGGCTCAGCAAAAGCTCTGGGCTCTGGCATCTCCATGATTAATGATATCTTAACCCTTATGAATGATTATCCTTTCCTGGCTGTAAAATACATACACTGTTTTATTTCATTACCGTGAGGTGAAGATCCAACACTGACAGGTGCTGGGAATTAGCAGGCAGTTTTGAAATTGTTCTGTGCACTAGAAATTAGATCTCATTTTAATTCAGCTTTTCCAAACTAGTAAATGAGGTTAATGCCATACATATTCAGCTGATATGGATGAAGAAATTGATATAAAGTAGATCAACATAGCTACAGGGCTACTTTAATTTATACGTAAAGAGGCAGTGATAAATGAAAGTAATGTAGTAGTGGTCACTAAACTCCTCAGCCATCAGGGATTCAATAGTGTTAGCTGCTCATTAAAGACATGGTTGGGGTTACTTCAAATAGAAATTTGAAAAGAAATAGCCAACTAACCCTTAATTATCAAAACATAGAAAATACTAATTATGCCTTAATTAGCTTTTCTTTTAATGTACTGAAATTGTTACTTTTTGTGTAGCACAAATGGATAGTTATATCAACAATAAATAGGTTGTTTTAATAACTTTCTTTCACCTCTGGGAAAACCACACTCCAATTTTTAATATGCAATAATGCTTCTCTCTAGCCTGTAGGAGATGAAAATTATTAAGTAGCTTTATTTTTTGAAGATCTTACAGCAGCTTTGGGAAGAATTATTTCACTATGCATCAATTATTTTTAATTGAACTGAATATATTTCAGATTGCATGAAATGCCTCTCATTTAAGTTTAACATTTAGAGTTTGTTAAGGAAATATCACAGTGAGAATTGGATACATCTTATTTCTGTGGCATATTCTAGGAAGAATAAAAAAACATTGTTTCAGAAGAAAAATATTGTCACAGGTATTTTTTCCTTCACTGGGTCAAATCTCATTTTTACTCTGTTTCATAGCTCCCACACTGTTCTTATCCAATATTCCTGCAGTTCACATAGGAAAAGAAAGTCGGGGCTGGCTTTGGTGGGTCTGGGATCCTTTGGTGCTGTTGCACAATTCCTGTCCCAGTGAGGCCCGTGGAGCCTGCCCCTGTGGATGTATGCAGGAAGGAATGGCCAGCACATCTGCCTGTGCTTTAGCAGACACATCAGCTTTGTGATTTCCAGCTATGGGATGGTAGGGAAGCACTGAGTAGTGCTGGTCATGAAAAATCCACGTTCACTTGATGGCCCCTGCTGAGTTAAATAGAAGGTAAGTGCTAGTACAGAAGTCAAAATAAGTAGTTCTTGGTAACAAAACCTTGGCAAACTTTAAATCACCATGCCTGCCCTTTAACAGCTTTTGGAAAATTCTTTATTGAATGTCTCCATTACCTGGAAGTTCTATACAGCAAACACACCATCAGGACATAGAGGCAAACATGGCAAAACTTTGTGGAATCATAAACATTGGGTTCCTCATTAGGTTGAGGAACCTTTTCTCAGATTTTAGATTATATGCTTCTGCCTTCCTCCTTCTTTTACAATGATGTTTAAACCATTCAAGTCCTGAAAACGTTTTCTTTTTGTCTGTCTCACTCGTTACCTTTGGACTCCTTGCTCATGCCAACTAAGCCTGCATGAATCATTTTAGAGATATTCTTTACTCACGTTTGCAATTAAAGCACTGGTTTAAATGCCATGCTATTTTATTTTAGAATTTTATAGCACGAATCAGGCAATACTAAAAATAAATAATAAGCACAGTTCAGTTCTTCACTTAGCTGTAGCTGAGCTTTATTTTGTAGCTGCTAATAAAGGCACATTATCATGTTCAGGGATTGCAATTATCACTGAAATGTGTATGTCCATTAACTGCAGCATTAGGCTGAGGGTATAATTACTGTCTAGAGCCAATATCTGTGTGTAGTTATGTCTATGATGCTATTAAGTTATAAGCAATATTTGTAAACTAATATTTAAACATTTCAGAATTGATTCCATCATTTGCGGACTTAAAATCTAATCCTAATTCCACTCCAAGTTATTGATGATTTAAATGTTTGGCAGATATATTATTGAGTTATTTTGATGTGAGTACAATTTGTGATGTGAGAGAGAATACTGTTTTTCTAATAGCAAGTACCCAGAATGAGCTGAGCGCTTGGCAGGAGGAGAGAGAAGCTGTGATAGCAACAAAATGCTGATAAAATAGTGGTACAGTGTGTCCCAAAACACTGCAAACAGGATGAATTTTTCTTAGACTTACATTTCAGACAATTTAGTACAGCAATTTAACTACATAAAAAACCTGTTGCATGTTGAGAGGACAAGAAGGAAAATGCTTTCCTAATAATATCACAAGTGTGTTTTGAAGAGGAATGAGGTTGAGTTTGTGCATTGATTTGCTTTTGGAAAAAATCTGGTGTTTCTGCTGACAGAATGTGAAACTGCCTGTGAAATTAGGTGGATAGTTCATTTGCAAAACTGCTCTAAGTCACCTGTCAGTAATTCCACAGATGGTGGAGATGTTTGCATCTGTAATGAATGTGTGACCTTTTGCTACATTTTGTTTTATATGCAAAATACACATAGCAGTAATCGACTTTTAAGTGCTTGTGTAAATTAATTTTCTGTTGTATTTCCTTGACAGGTGAGCAATAGCCACCCCTCTGGTTAATTTGGTTACCTGTCTCAGTAATGGATAGTTAAGGAATGCTATTTGGCAGTAAATGTTAAGAGAATCAGTCTTTCAGCATTTTACATCTTATTTTGAACTCAAGTGTGTTTCAGATTTTTCTAGGACAGAGGAGCTACTACATTGCTTAGTGATTTTTCTCTGGTACAGATATAGTTGATAGATACCTAATTGAATTTCTCTTCCTGCTTTTACAACAGTTCTTCTGAATTCAGCTTTCACGTGTGTCTGCTTCGTGGCTTTCCAGCCTCAGCTCTGTCTTTGAGGGCCACACTTAGTTCTGAAACTGTTTACGTTTGCTGTCCACATCACTAAATATGACTTCGTATTTATTAGATTGTTTGTATTTTTTATGTTGATTATGCTCTTTGTTTCAAAATCCGTGTATTTCACCTCCAGCGGATTCTCTTCTCTGAGTAACCTCTAACTGTTGGAGCTTTCCACTTGTGCTGCGTGTCCCAAACCAACTTAGCAAGAAGGAACAAGTAGCAAATAGGACATCTTGGGGGGAAAAAAACCCCAGAAACCCAGGCTAACTTATGACTTACTCATCTAAAATATATTGGTTTGTTGCAGTATGCTGGCCTTGTATCCTCATTATTTAAATAGCTTAATGAATTAATTTAACAGACCTTACAGTAAGTAAATTAACCATCAGAGTTCAGAGCAGAGTGAATAATTCTTTAATATTAGACTACAGCAATTTTTATGATTCAAGTTAATTATGAAATTGCTTATTGCATGTTTGTGTAATTCAAGGAGTAAAAATGTGCAAAATAACACACCATAGGCACATCTGTCAAAGAAAGAACAATCCAGTAAAGTCCCAGGGGGTTAGAAAATTCTTCTTGATACTGGGTGAGTTATCCACCATTCTGTTTGGGTTCTGGAATCGTGGTGTGCAGCAGCCAGCACTGGTGAAAAGGGGTTGTGTGATTTTACCTGATCAATTGTTAACCTCTCCTTCAAAATTACTTACGAATTGAATTTACTTACTAGTAATTAGTGTATTACAAAAACAGTCCTCTGGATGTTCTTCTTGATTTTCCTTTAGAACAGTGTTGTCAGTTTGGATTTATAAAGGGGAATATATATTTATCTGGAAGTGTTCTTAAACAGGAATTGTTCCACAGCAGTAACTTCAGTTCACTGAATTTTTTTCCCTGGAAAAATAATTAACCTAAGTAACAATCTTCCCAGGCAGCTTTATGCACTGATGATTTCTATTCTTACTTGTGAAACAAAGGTGAAATTGCATAAATAAAGTGCAGACTTCCCCGTTTGTGACCTCAAGGTCAGCTGGTTTTGACCTTACAAAAAGTGAGTGTTAAACACAGCATGGGAACTGTCCATCACTTGGGGCATTTTTTTATAGTTGTAAGTTCTGGGTTAATCCAGAATTGCAAAGGACATGCTGTTCCTCCTTTTACCTTTTACTCTCATATGACTACTCCTGTTTTTTTAATTAAATAGGATTGGATAGTTTGCATACCTATTACTGTCTATTAATTGGTTTTTTTCATGCTTTTTAGAGTTATTTACAAGTATTTGTGTGGAAAGGGCAGTCTTGGCCTGATGAAATGTTCATGGAGCAGCAGCATGTACAGAAAACTTTGCCTCTTTTGTCAAGCTGTTGTCACCTGAGCAGCAATGCATCGCTTCCACTCCAGAAGAGAGAGAGTCAGTGGAGCTGAGCTTCTAAGGACTCCTTCCTTCAGAGCAGCAGTCATGTCCAGAAACCTTTTGGGTTTTAAGAAAAAAGGTGAGAAACCTTTTGGAGTTTGAGATAGAAATGAGGCTTCAGCTACTTCCCCTGTTTTGTAATTCCTTTGATCTGGAAACTTTCCAGATGCATGAAGTAACCAGATTTCTCAATCAAATTTTAAATTCTTTTTATTTGGGCTACCCTTGGCTTCACATGACTTATGTAGTCACTGTCTGGGGGTGTCAGATGGAGTGAACATCCACATTGCTGTAAAGGGCTTCATGAGGAATAAAGGGAAAAGCCTCCTCTGAGGCAGGTGAGATGTCACACCTACTTCCTTCCTTTTGCACCCGTGTGACAATAACTGTACCAGGAAAGGTCTGCACAGAAATCCCTGCAGAAACTACATTTTGCTCAGTCAAGGACAGAGCTTCCAGCAAGCGCTCCTGTTTCTATTTGGATGGCAGTGCCTGGCTCATCCAAACATTTTGATAATACTTGGACCGTGATCTTTTTTCTTTTCCTTTCCTGCTAAATATTTGAACCATTTGCACTTTTCATCCCATATTATTGTGCCATTAGGAAAAGCAGTAAAGCGTTTTTGAATGTCAAGTTTAAGTGGAAAAATAATTTAAAAATAATAAAATACAGAGACTACTTTTGCTTATGTGATTGGCTTTGGTGTTGAAAAGCCAAAGAGCACACAGGTATGGTGTTAGAGGATACCAGACAGTGTTTTTTTCTCCAGGAAGAGGAAAATGAACCCATTGGCTCTCAATTGCTCCCCTTTTTTTGTGTTGCACAATAAATTAGCATCTTTCTGCGAGATCTTGTGGCAAACCCACCTACCTTGGGTCATTCTCCGCCTCAGGGAATATTTGGCTTGTCACCTGCAGTTCTGGGAGCACTCATAAAGGCTCAGGTGAGAGGTCAGTGCTGTTAGGAGCTTTCCATCCAGGTAAGATGAGACATGAGAGATGAGCAGCTTCCCTTTAGGAGTCTGCAGTAGGGCTGGTACAAATATTTTGAAGAAGTCTGATTCTTCAGAAGCTTTCAAGGTGCTGACATTAGTTTATTTTTTTAAGGCCAAACTGCTTAGGCTAGAAGGTCTTCAAGGTGATAGAGACTTGCTCTAACTGCACAGGCTTTGCAGCTGCCTTCAGTTTATACAGTCCCCTGCATAAGTTATTTCTGGGTGTCATGGCACCGTGGCTGAATTTAGTGCAGTACCAGGACTGCTTTGTAAAGCTGCCAGTACCCTTGGAAGTTCAGGTGATCTCCTGAACTACTGGGATTTTAAGGAAATTCATACTTTGCAAAGTAAATCTAATGATTAGTATTTATTAGTAATTGTGATGGTCCTTTAAAAAATAGTTTTAGTTGTACATGCTGTGAAATCCTTTATTTGTTTCCTTTACAAAGAAATCAATCCATCAGTGCCGTCTGTTGGGAAGCACAGGCTGTGTGAGAGGCAGAGGGGGCACAAGAGAGCGAGCAGGACTGGCTGGGATGGACCGGGGTGGGAGGGCTCTTGCTGAACACACAGTGAATAATCAAATACCTGTTTGTTTGGTGTTGTATAAAGATTTAATTGCAGGAATGCTTCCAACCTGCCCCCATGAACTCTTAGATGCTGAATGATACGAAGTTATTTCTAGCAGTGCACAAACCTGTCAAGTGGGACAGGTCTGTGGCATGGGGAAGTGTTTCTGTCACCAACCCTGGGTTACTTTTTGCAGTTCAACTTTGTTTCAGTTTGCCTTTTGCTCTCCTGCTGTGCCAGTAAGTGAACACTTGTGCAAATCCATCGCTTCTGCTCAGCTCTGGAGGGCCAGGGGGAGCAGAAGCCGGTGGGTAGAGGTTGCTTGTGCTGCAGTTTCCACACACGCTTGGTGGCATTTAGCTTCCTGCTTGCCTTGACACTGCTTTGGCCCAAAACATGAGGGATATATTTTTGAGAAATGCACGTTTCATTTTTAAGCATTCTTAATCTTAATAGTTATGACAAATTTTTAAAATATGTGCATTTGAGACGGCATTAATAATTCATGAGTGTTTCATTAAGAAAAAGAACAAACTGTCTATAGGGCCATTAAGTTCTTACTTGGCTAAGATCATCAAAATTTAGATGACCTAAAATGGTACCTTGTTGGGGTCATAATATGCTGCTTGAAAAAAAATACCCTGTGATTTAGTTTTGATTCTGACAATACTCAAAAGGATTTGTTATATCTTACAGACCTTTCTGCAAACTACTAATGGGATGAACACAATATATCACTTTTATAATAGTGAGCTATTAAAGGCAAACATAAAGCAGTCTGAAGCCCATAAGTGCTGCCAACAGCTCCTGCTTTAATGAATTCCCTTTTAGATGTCCATTAAATGCTCATGGCAAATGTACTCATAATGGAAATGGCAAATCTAAATGGGTAGATATGAATAATCCATGGAGTTTAAATTCTGTTTATGATCATCTTCACATTTAGTTTTCAAGACAACGCAGTTTAGTTTTCATTACAGTTTGGAATAAAGAGGACAGGGAGTAATTGATTGCTTCAAGCAGATTAAAATCAATGGGTTGCTTTTCAAAGAACCCGTTCGATGCAGTAATTTCAACTTTAAACATTGATTTAGGGAACTCAACACAAAATGTTTTGTGCCGTGTGAACTTTTATGTGTAAAGACTAATACTAATTTTATTTCTATATATCTGTATATAGAAATATATAGAGGTTGTTATCAGTATGTGCATGAGTAAACAGTGATCTATAGTAAGTTATTTTGGTATTATTGCACTCATGTAATGAATCAATGAGATTCCCGTCATCATTGGGATACTGTTTGTAAACCATTAGCACACAGAAATTACAGCCCATCATACATCATTACTGTGATTGAGGCTTTATTACCATATTCTCAAATTGCTTGCTTGCTATAAAACTAAATAGACACCAGACAACTATAGGTAGACGATAGACTGTGCATTATTGGGCTGGAGTAATGAAGGATTATTGTAGCATAATGGGGCACAACTTATGAGGAAAATAAACTTGGCAGCAAAGGAAAGCTTGAGTGTTTTTAATGCTTGTTGTTACTGCTTTAAAGGTCAAATATATTTGTTATGATCGAGTTACTGTTTCCTTATTTCATGAATCATACACTTTTGGTGTTCCATATAGGCTTTGTTTTATTTTTAAGCATTTAAAACACAGGAATTGCACTGCACCTTTCAGCTCCAGAGGTGAATTTGCAGCTCTGGGGCAGTGCTGTGGCTGTCAAGGTGCTGGGATGGGGGAGAGCCCTTGCTCTGCACACATTGCTTTTCTTCTGGACAGAGGCAGGGAGGGAAAACTGCATCAACAGACATTAACAGCTGTTAAATGTGATGTAAGTTCTCCAAACACACTGAGGCAAAGTATACATTAGGAATTTGGGGAGCTATAGTGAAAGTATTTATGATACCCTCATTTTAAAAGATGAGAGGACACACTGAATTTCCACTTGGGGAATTTAGTAATCTCCTGCACAGGATATGTTCAAGGTGTTACTTTCTCTGGCTACAGAAAAAAGTGTTTTAGAAATTTCAGCTTAAGGCTTCTGACCATGAGACATGCAGACAGGGAGGCATTTCTTCGTACTCACGTGAGATTTCAGAGACAGTAAGACCTTTTATGATGGCAAAGAGGTGTCAACATCCTCCGTCCTTTTTACTTGCCTCCTCAAAAGGATCCAAACCTCCACACCCTTCTAAACTTTTGCTGTCTGTACCATCTTTCATCAGTGTTAGATTCTTCTCTTCTGGAGTTTTTAGAATATTACAGCAAATTGTGGTAACTTCTGTATGTTAGTAAGGTAGGAACTTGTTGTTTCTGCCAGTTTTGTTTAGCTGAATTTTTGCGTGAGCAAGGGTTGTAAACCCTTGACATGCTGACGTGTTGGGAGAGCAGACTCCTTAGGGCTTGGCTGTCTACAGGCAGAGATTGCTGAAGAAGGTAACAGACAGTGTTAAAACTTCCGTAAGTTGTTAAAAAGAATCTGTAAGTTGATGTACTGCTTTGTACCTTAAAATTCCAGTTTAAATAATAGTGATATTCCATGGGGTTTTTTTGCATGAAAGCTTCTGGAGTTCTTAATGGGGATGAGTGAAACCATCAGGATAGAGTACTCAATTGCTGAGAGGCAGTGAGCAACTTGATGTGCATTCACTTTTGCCAGGGGTTTGAAAACACATGCTTTTTCATAAAGTACATTTGACCTTTCTTTGCCTTCCATTTGGCATGAATTCACATTTCATTTCAGTTCTGAAAGTAGAGGCAATATCTGTAAACCACAACACCTCGTTATGCACCGGTCCAAATAGGAGGTAAGGACAGGGGAGGAAATTATTGTTTCGTTATATTTTATAGATATTTGACAATACATGTGTATTACTATATTTTTAACAAGGATATAAACAATAAGAGCATTCCAGGCTGAGAAACGGTCGAAACATATTGCTGATATTCAGTCTAGACTCAAAATGCTGCTTCTCAGGAGTAGAATGTGTCAGATCTGGAAAACTCGTAGAGCTTTTGTCAGAGTTTGCTGTGAATGCCTCTCTCGTGGGCTCAGGAGAGCTGCTGCAGCTGGGAACCCTCCTCAGTTCCCTCCATTAGACAAGGAACTTCCTTGGCTCGAGGAAAAACCCTTTGAAGTGATAATGATGTAATGTACCAATAGAAGATTTCATGATTCCATTATCTCCGTGATGGCATTGGTTTGGAGAGAGCTTCCCCTTTGTCCTTTCATCAGGAATTGGTTTGTTCAGTGCTCAGTGAGTCAGTTCTGGTTTCTTCAAAGAGAGATATCTGAGTGTTGTGGAGTAATCATTGTTAGGCAAAGTTCTTCTCTTGAGTTTAAGACAGCTGTAATTAAAAACATCTCACCAGTTGGGTTTTAATAGACACAATTACCACAGCAAATATGTTCAGCCGTTAGGTTTGAAGAATATATTTCTATTAACGTCTAGGCAGATCTTCTATATAGTTGCAGAAATTGTCTCTATGATATGTTGATACTACTTTTACATAATAATGCCTTACATATTCTAGAGTGCTGCATAAAGCCACTCATTTTTATTTGTGTTAAGTCTCTTCATGTATATTTGGTAATGCTTATAGAGATGTGTTTTCATTTAATCACTAGAAACCAGGTAATTTTCTCATTTCTCAGAAATTGTGAGGTATGTTTGATCTTTCTTTTTAATAAGTTACTTTGGTTTAAAATATTTTTAAAAACATTTCATGTGGAAGTATCATTCAGGTTTTGTCTATTAGATTTAACACAATTGCATTTGGTTTGCTCATCAAAAGTGGAGAACATTTAATATTTATTCATAACAAAAGTATTAGAGAAGCTGTCAATAAATTTTCTGTCATAATTGAATCATAGGATATCTAAATTGTTGATGATATGATCTGCTCGTTAAACAAAAGTGTCTGGAGAAAATGATGGATTAATTGACTGATGGCTAAGGTTTCTCTCAAATATAATGGTTTAGCCAGTTTGATTTGATTTGTGTAAAATAACTTTCTCTAATAAACAATTTGCTCAGAGGCAATAGAAGAAATGAATGGTTATCAAACCAAACTTAATTAGTCTCTCCTAGATTGATATTACTTGGGGAGTCTTCGTTTTAATTGTGGAGAGCTGGATACAAAGAGTTTGGTTCATTATATTTTTCCTGTATAAACACTATTGTGTAACTACCTATGGAATATAACATGTAAATTCATTTTAATAAGCGCTTGTAAAGTGGATTAGCTAATTATGCCAGGCTAAAAATGATTCCTTTAATTATTTTACATATTTAACTAGTACTTCAATTTTATTATTGTTAGTCTGTAAACATAATTTGTATTAGCTCTGCCAAACTAATTAGAATATATAACTTAAACAGTTTTAACAGTTTTGTAATGCTCATTATACACTCTTCTCTTAAAAATACATTTCTATTATAGAAATATTCAAATAATGAAGAAATTTATGACATAGAAAGATTTTTATATGTGAGGACGAATACCTTTTTCTCAAAAATACTGTTTCAGAGAAGTTCATATGGTTTGAGATTCTGGAATATTTGAACAAAGTATATGAAGGAAAAAAATCTTTCTTTTCCTCAGAGATGGAGTCAAACTAAACATGAATCATTGAGTAACATAACTTTGTGGGATTCCAGACTGTTAAGACTGTCCATGGACAACACAAACCACGAATACAGATGCATCTTACCCTTTCAAAGGTTAAGCACACAATTGTGTTAGTAGGTAGGGATCTGCATGTTCAGACTAAGAAGGGTTGCTCTTAAAGGCTTTCAGTTAATTTAAGGTAAATAATTTTCTCTTTTCTTTAAAACAAAAGAGTTTTCAAAACATCTGTAGAAGCTTTACAAGATTTTAATATAAAATGTACATGAGAGGGCTGTTGTTTGGAGCTGAGAAACTGTGGAAAGCAAGACATTACTGAAGAGTAATTTGGGTGTTCATAATTATATTCACTCATGATTAATTTGGGCTTATAAATCCAGAAATTAATCTGGTTTATTGTTTCTTCTCACACATGAAGTTTTCATTTTGACAGTTTGTTACTTTAGTTTTCCTTAGTGTGGGAAGCTACAGATAACTGAAAATGCAGGGAAGAAACAAGGAACATCTTTTAGTTTTGTCTGTACAGTCACTGAATGTAGGTGTGTTCAGACTGGGGACTCATGAGCAAGAATTGGTGCCGTGAGCCTTACCTGGCACACCTGTGAGAGGGACAGGAGCCTGCTGCAGGCCAGCACAGGCACACTGGGCACATCTGTGGAGCAGAAACAGTTTTGAGCAGAACCTCTGGTGCTCTCAGTGAATGTGTTCTCTGGAGTTCTCTCTTTGGTTTCCCCTATCCCCTCTCTGCCAGGCCAGCAGAGCCACAGGTCTGCACGGATGCCCTGCACTCCTCCCTGGAATGGCCCTGGGAGTCTCACCAGCATTTGGGGAGCAAGACAGCAAAGGCATGCAGTAATCTCTGGAGTGTGATAAGTTGATGGAAATAAATAGCAAAGCCGAGCAAGTCCCTGGACGCTACTTACATATCAAACTTTATCAGTTAAATCTCATTAAAGCCACAGAGTCTCACAACTACCTTGAGGTCCCTCGTGCTGTGCCTCAGCAGTGCAGCAGAGAGGACACGTGAGCACCAAATCCAGATATCAGACTGCTGAGAGCACGAGAGGTGCAGACAGGTGTTCCTGCCTGGGGTGCAGGGAGGGCCTCATGAATGTCAATATTAAACACTCATTGATTTACAAATAAAATCCAGTGATCCTGAGGCAGGGATTATAACCACTCTCCTGCCTAATTGTGACAAGCACGTCACAGAGAAAAGTGTGGCAGTTCCAACTAAATGTGTTATTTTAAAATTCTTAGCAATAATTTATTTTCTTTCATAAATTATAATATATTCCTTTACAAATCATTGTTTCATTAGGCAATTTTACTCATTCTGAAATAAACAAAAAATCCCAAAACCTTTGTATACAAATTTTTTCCTTACAGGCAGAAAATAAGTATTCTTTGACTTTTTGCAAACCTTTATGATTCAAAGTAGTTAGTGATTTTTAATATAGAAGAAAACAAGCATAGTGCACAGAAAAATTTTAGTTGGGTCAGAAATGCAAGGTTTATCCTAAAGCATTTACATGTTGGTATCTGATTTGGAGTATTTAAGAAACATTAAACAGTATACAAATGAACGTAAGTGATCTTGAAATAGTTAAAATTCTGAAATATTTAAAATTCTTAAGATAAAGCATAAAAATAATATGTGTTAAAATTATACTAAACATTTACAATGTTTAATCTTAAAGGTAAGCACAATTCTCAGATCAGGTTTGGTAGCTGTAATACTGCAGAGATGTGTGTAATGTGCTTCACTGAGGTTGTGTTACTCTGAACTGGCGTGTTGCACTTCAGTGGCTGGCACATTCCTGTGGTGTGATTCATGCTGAATCTTTGTAATCTCTACTGCAGTCTGAACACACTGTGCATCGTTAGATAGCCACCTACCAAATTTTATGTTGGTGTTGCATTAGCATTCCACTGCAATGTATAGCAAAAATAGTGATGATTATTTAATATTTTTGTTCTGATAGCTGCAGCTACAGAGTTCCAACACACACTTAGGAGGAGTTGCGTTGCTTGTTGTGCTTCCCAAGGAGTATGTTATGGGAGCAGCAAATTTCTCATTCAATATTTCATAGAACCAATGCAGAAGGGTTCTCTGCATCCTCTATTCTCTCTGTTAGAGCGCTGCTGGGCTGTGGGCTTGGCTAACAGTTTGTCCTTGATATCCTGTCTGCTTGACAAACCAAACAACTTGTTTTTGTATTTTAGTCGAGGTCCTTCCTGGACCCTTCTCAAGACTCCCATCAAAGTCTTGTGGGAGCAAGGTGAAACTCAAAAAAAAAACCCAAAAAAACCCCAATGTTTGCATATAAGTAACAGCTCCTAATTCCTTTGTAGTAATTTTTATTTGAAAGCTAACCAGATATTAATTGGAAGAGTAACAGCTTTGGTTTTACTGCATTTTGTGGGGTTTTTTTATAATCCGTGGTGGAAACTGACTGCATTTTGTTAATATGCCTAGCTTGATATTAAAGCCTATCATAGAATCACCATCCTCATTCCTGCCACGCCTCCTGGCACCTCTCAGTGCAGTAACTTTGACCTTTCTGTAGACATGGCACAGCTCTGACATAAGCTGGCCCTTCAGAACCCAGGCAGTATAAAGATAGCCTTTCCTCACCCTAACAGCTGTGAATCTCTCATTTACATTCGTGCATTCTAAGCGACAGCATTCTTTTTTAGGTCAATTGGCAAGGTGGGCCCAAACTTTGAAGGTAACCTGGGGGAATAAATTCTTTTGGTTGCACCAAACTGGTGTTTACACTTGGCTGTCTTGGTACTTTGAGATCTACCTTTGTGGTTTATTCTACACTTACTTGTGGGCTTCCAAACCCTACTGGTTTGGTTCTACACTTGATGATTTCATGCTCTCCCTCAGGATATGAGTAACTGTTTAAAAGGCTGAAGAAGTTAGTTGTAGGATTGTACTTGATAAGTTTATGAATGAACTAATACTGTCTGGTTGCCTGGAGCAGCAGCAGTCTGGATAAAAAGCCCTGGGAAGCCGCTTTCAGGGATGTGCTCTGCATTCCTCTGTTCTTGTATGTATATATTCAATGGTTTAAAATGCTGCATAGATAATTAGCAGTAAGTTTGAGTTTTATTCAGAGGGTTATCATGATGTTTTTTTTGTTACCTGCATACTGGCTTTGTATTCAGCAGCAGCTGTAAAAATAATCTCTCTTCCTGGCTGAAGTTCAGAACAGAATAAAAACAATCCTTGTACTACTTCAGTCATATAGTAAATGGTATTTGGGGGTAAATAGAGGAGGTGACTGAGAGCTTTAATGGAAAAATGATTTTTAAAATGATGGTCTCAAACATAGTACAATAACTCTTGAAGTAAGGAAGGGGGTTAAAGATGCAAAAGTGAAAGAATGCACTCTTACCTGTTGCCAAGTGTTTTTTCATGTATGCATTACAGCTCTTTTTTGTAATGGTCAGTATTGCCCTTATTGTGTTCTGTTTACATGTCTGACTTCTTGTTTGGATTTTACTTGGTGATTTGGTATTAATTTTTAATGTGAAAGCACTTAGCATTAGGAGTTTGACATTTTGTCTGACCTTAATCACCAAGAGGATCATGAGAGGTTTATTCAGTGGGAAGAGAATTGTTACAGCTCCGACAGAAATGATGGGAAATAAGTAAACAGCCTTTTAAATCTTCACCAGAAATCAATAGAGTTTAAAGATGATGGACGTTGGTGTTTTTTGCTGCTTAAGGACTTCAACCTTTTACGGGAAAATATCTTCTCGGAGTGTCAGCGCTTTTTTGCCCAGCACCATGAATCACTGCTGCAAATAGAACACTCTGCATAGAGTACTTCATCATTGTTACACAGATGATGTTATAGATCTGTCTCTCTCTGATACTGCAGATGCTTATATTTTTACACGTAGAGGTGTGATGCTACTTCATAACATTGCTAATTAATGGATGGTCAGCAAAATAATTATGTGTTTTTGAGTCCTGATGAACTCCT